AAGGTAGGAGGAACGAACGTCATTCAAAGTTGAATAAAGATCTGTTGGTATTTGAAAAAAAAATGTATATTTTTTTGGACAGAAATAAAAACAGTGTGAAAATAACTTTCTACCGAGATCTCATAAGTCTAAATCAGAATAGTTTTGGCCCAGTTATTTAAGTTTTTCGTAAATCAATCTTTGAAAAAAGTAAAAAAACAGCATCAAAAATCTTATTCTTACGATTCCGTTGAAAAGATTTTAAAATATTTTTATGCAGATTTTTTAGGCTGAATCTGTTTTGTCATCTGAGGGTACTTTTTTCAAAAAGTTCTTTACAAAACTATTTGTATTCATAAAACACTCCATTTTAGGAGGTATTTTCAAATCGGTCCAGCTCACTTAAATCTTAATATGTTTCCCAAATATTTTAGTGAACGTCTTAAAACATAATAAATTTTGTAATCCCGCCGGAAAAACCGCAACTTTTTTGGTTATGCAGTCTAATGTACATACTTATGTACATATCGTTACCTTAATAGAGAAAGGCCCTATCTCATTTTCTTTGGAAATACTGCTTTGTACAACTGTCGGTAGATTCTCACTGCAAAGTTAATGCAATTCAAAAACAACTACTACAGCATTTAATTAATTATAGTCCTCAATTCAAAACAGCATTTTAAAGAAATTCTCAATCAAAGATTTAAAAGTTGTGTTAAGTTTTCAATCATTTTGCAAATAAACATATTAGAGTACTATTGTTTTTAAAATACATACAAAGTTTTTTTCTGAAGCCGAATTGAATTCTTATACATATTTTCTAGATTTGTTACAACCATTTTTAACCGATTTCAAAAAAGAGGAGGTTACCAGTTCGTCGGAAAATTTTTTAAATTTTTTTATGTTTGTTACCGCATAACTTTGGACCACGCTAACCGATTTCTATAAGATATTTTTAAAGGAATGTTGGCAAATAATTTGGTTTATATCCGATCATTGGATTATAAAGAAATTAACGGTACTCTAAAATTTGTATATGAGAATTAAAGTTGGTTTTGTTTTTTGCTTAAAATGACTTGTCTTGTGTTTACTTTAATATATTTTTTAGGTTCAAATAAAACTGAAATTAAAGTTTTCCTCCATGTGATTTGCGTTATATTTTGCTAGTAATTTTTCGCATGTGTATAAATTGAGCAAAACCATGTTTTCAACTGTAACATACGAAATTAGCAATAAATGTTGCAGATTTTATGTAATTTTTTTATATAAAAAATTCTAATATTTCCTTAAACCAGGGATGGAATTTAAAAATTTTAAAATCTGCCTAATGGTATTCAAAAATAATGCCGAAAAGAAGATGAAAGGGCCACAAAATGTAATTTCTTTTAAGACGTTTTAAGGTCAATATATTTTTAGAAAAAAATATTTTTTAAACACACTGAAGTAATATAATAATTATTAATTAACTAAATTATTACAGTAAATCACTTTTATGGAGGATTCCTTAGACATATACATAAATTCATAGTAAAGTTACACAGAATTCCAATTACGGAGGGGAAATACACCGAAATATAGCCATTCTGACATTTTTACACTCAAATGTATGTACATATATGCGAAATAATGGCAGTGAGATATTTTGGCCTATTCTTTTCATTGATTATTTTTTGACTGATATTAAATAAAAGTCTAATTCATAATTTAATAAACACAATATATGTACACAAAAGGGGCATTTCAAACTTTGTACAAAAACTGTAATAATTCAGCCAGTTTTCGCAACAACAATCGTTGAATTCAGAATTTTTCCCCATATGAAGTGGGTTCGAAAATTTTTTATATGGATGAAAATGTATGACACCGTCAGAAAAAAAAATATCAAAAAACTTCGCGATATTGCAGAAACATGCAGTTTTATTTAATGGACTATAAAACTGTAAACTTAGAATTTTTCTAAAAATTCTGAATTGTTGGGCAAACTTTCATTTCGAACTGCGTATTCAAAATAGAATTCAGCGGTTTGTAAATATTTCTTATTCTTATTTCTTTTTTTAGTGCTTTTAATTTTAATTTTTTGCATTTTTGTAATCTATAATGTGGTATGTGAATTATTGTTATATATTGGCATTTTATACACAATTTCTATATTTTATGATTGTGCCAAAACAGGAAGAATTGTGTTAAAAGTGCCTCTGAGAATGAAATTGCCAAATATGGCATTATTGCGCCTACTTTTCCATCACAGCTTTAAGCTAGAAACAACATATACAATTTTCAAAGAAATCTACCGTGACATTTTAGAAAACGGACTCTAAACTTATTAATAATAAAACGAAAATTGAAAAATTTGAGAGTCAAGTTCACAAAACAGAAAAGCACTAAATCAAGGCGAATTTTATATCTATTGAGGAGTGGGAAGCGTTCATCTGCTTCAAAATATGAATACGCAGTGAGCGCATGCAATGGAACAACAAAACAAATTTCATAGCTTATGGCACCGTTAGCGATGAGTCATTAATTGTAACTACCTGCAACTAGCAAAAGGCTAACCCAGCAAACATTAAAACTAATTACAAGCTATTCATTAAAGGTGAACTTTTTTAAATAGCCACCCAAGAACTAAGCAGCTCTGAGACCGTCATCATCCGTAATTCCAATAATTCAAATGCTTATAAAAAACGGGGTGCCTTTTTAACAAAATATCAAGGTTCTGATCCGAGTCGGCTGGCAGGCATGACTTTGAAAACAGACTTATGTACGAAATTTTAATTCCTGAAAAAAAAAACAAATTAATTGGCCATATCCATCTATGTAGAACCTCGAACCTTATAGCACACATTTTTTTAAACCAGTCAAAGAAGAAAGTATTAAAAATGAATTACAAAAACGGAAATCGAAAGACACTAACGACGTTAGAGGTTCTCTAATTCTAAAACAGCCAAAAATATAAGACTAAATAATTCTTAGGAAAAAGCTTTAAAAAAACGTGGCACATTTGGTATTGCTTGTGAGCGGTATTTGAAAAACGATCTTACCATGATGCTAGATTCTTCAAATGAAGATATAAGTCAAGAGGATACGACCAAACTTTTCAACCCATATGCAATTCTCGAAACGGAGTTATTATTGTACCGCAATAAAAAAATTAATATAACTGAAAGTCATCTCAACTGGAGCGGCGCCAATCGAAAATAAATTAAAATATTCTCAAGTTTCGCACGCAGATATCTGTCGACTCGAGCGAGCACTTATTTAGTGGCGACCCTTTAAGAAACAGGCTGTTACCTGAAAAGGCAGCATTACGTTTTATTAAACATAATTTTTAATTTGAAAATTCAAGTACTAAATTAAAGGCGCGTTCACCGCCCGGACAACTTTTTATTTGCTCTCAAACCAGTTTTGCCATAGAGGGTGCTGAAGTACGGCTCACCGTTCAGTTCGACACATTTTATTTTATTCTGTAGCAAACAGCTGATGATATTGTTGCCTAGATACGATTATGAGTGGAAATAACGCATTCAATTCGCTGCAAACGCATATAAAGGAGAACGCGGCAATCCGAATCATCAAGTCGTTCGAACAGAAAATCAAAATCAATTTGATCCGAACAAAGAGTGTTCGGCACATTTTTGTCGCGCTCTCGGGGAAACAATGTGGGAAAGGAATGCGTAAAATTACTAACAAAAAGTGTCCGGACACGAACGGTGAATCCGCCTTAAATAAACATTATTAAAGATTACTAACACCCATTATTTAATTAGCCTAAATCATCCAGCTTGCCTAGCTAAATTATTTCTTAAAAATACTTGATATCCGCATTTGCATCCGCGGATTTCAGCCTTTAGACATCCGTCTAAAATCCCACAATCGCAATATTTCTAGTACATATATACATATGTGCGTACATGCAATATTTTTCTTAGATTCCACAGAAACCGCAGAAACCAAAAAGTTCACAAACACATCGACATATATATTTATTGAAGTTGGCATTGTACCTATGTACATTTGCACAAGTACAGGTATGTATGGGAGCGTTAGCTACATAATTCTATTGAGCGGAAAAGAACCAGCTGAAGTTTTCCACATCATTGCACCGCAAAGTGGTTGGCAATAAACAGTTGCTAACTGAGTGTTAATAATGGTGAAAGATTTAACCGGCTTCAACAAGCATAAAAGTAAGCACTCGGCACAAATCAATAGATTACACATCACAAGCAACGCTGCAAATTGAAAGCAGCAACAAAACGAAACACAAACAACGCATCCATCCACATAAATAATATTCCAATCAGTTCTTCAAGCACCAGCTACCGATTCGTCGTAATGAAAACAAGTGAAATGAAATAAAAGTAAATCAATGCCAACAAAGCACAAAGTTTATCTACCAGATGCAATATAAATACTAACATATGTAAGTGCATACATACATATGTATGCATATACATATATGCTTAGAGTGTTACCAATAAGGGAGGCAGCAATACTCGTCCTGTGGGCGGGACCAGAATGAACTGTATGCAATTTACACATCCTTAACTCCTTCGCATTCATCTGCAGCTAGTGCAATACACCAAAGTAGTACCTGTGGTGTCAGGTATGTATATATATGTGTATATATATGTGGCGCTCGCCACTGTAAACACGGTATAATTGTCTTTTGCCGAATCGATCACTATCGATTTTCGATTGTATTGCTCTCTCACTATTGTATTGGCAGATGATCAAGACAAGTTAAGTTTTCGCTGGTAAATTGATACACATATTTTTCTGATTAATACGATAAGTTATATTGTAATTTCCGCGTTATTAAATTGCCAAAATAAAGTTTAATCTGTTCCATCACAAACCGGTTTGTATTGATTGCCGTTTCGCGCAACCAAAGCGCTAAATTGGTGACCCCGACGTTGGACCACGTGGACTCTTTGTAACATAACTCTGGAGGTTAGAGCTGACCGCTTCGCCAGTAATTTTCTTTAGCGGGTCATTATTCAACTTTTGGAAGCGACCATCAGGTTATGTCAGACGACGATACCAGTGTTAAGGAATTTGGCCATAAAGCAATAAAAGCAGAATCATCGAGATATTCGTTTACACAGCAGCAGTTCGGTATGGCTACTAAAATCAAGGCACCCCAATTCAGTACGCAAAATCCAAAGCTTTGGTTTGCACAAGTCGAAGCCCAATTTTCGACACACCAAGTAGTTACTGAGCGCACCAAATTCGACCTCGTAATTCCATTGCTTGATACTCGCGTCGCATCGGAAGTTGAGCGACTTATTCTCGAACCGCCAGCAGTTTCGCCTTACTCTGACCTCAAAGCAGCACTAATTAAATGTTTCTCAAAATCGGAAGAGGCAAGAATCTCGCAACTCCTCGACAAAGAACGCCTGGGTGACCGCACACCATCGCAGCATCTACGTCATTTACGAGCACTGGTTCCAGGTATAGACGACGTCATAATTAAAGCGCGTTGGCTATCACATATGCCAAACGAAATCCAGGTGTGCCTTGAAGCTTTCGCTTACGAAACAACTAAAAAATATGTCGACCAATCGCTCCCGACCAAGGTCTCGAAGTCGCTCACGCCCACAAGCAACGAAGAAACATGATCTCTGCTGGTATCATTGGAAATACGGAAAGCACGCTCGCACTTGCGTACCGGGTTGCAAGTGGCAGGGAAACGCCAGCGAGAATCAGTAGAAGCGGCCTGCGATTCTCAGCTAATATCTCGCCGCCTCTTTGTCAAAGACAGAACATCGGGTACGGAATATCTCATCGATTCCGGATCCGATTTGTCCGTCGCTCCGCGTGGGCGTCTTACATCGACATCTAAACCACTATGTTATCAACTGTACGCGGCGAATGGCTCAATAATACAAACCTATGGCTTGGCAGAAACAACACTTAATCTTGGACTTCGCCGTAATTTTACTTGGAATTTTATAATTGCAGATGTCACTAAGCCGATAATAGGTGCTGACTTTCTAAGCCATTACGACTTATTAGTCGACCTAAAACGTAAACGCCTTCGCGATGGTCTCACGGGCGCAATTACCCACGGAAATACTCTTACGACATCGGCAGAAACAAATATTAAAGCATTAGATAGCAAAACAGCATACTTGGCGTTACTGAGAGAGTTCGGCGATATTACACGGCCAGTAAACCTAAAATCCAGTAAAAGGAAGCATTCGACCGTTCATCACATTCGAACGTCACCGGGACCTCCAGTTTCGTGCAAAGCTAGACGCCTGGCTCCCGATAAGCTGAAAATAGCACAAGCAGAATTTAGCAAAATGATCAGTCAAGGCATTTGCAGACCTTCCAACAGCGCTTGGTCTTCACCACTCCATCTGGTTCGGAAGAAATCCGGAGAATGGAGACCGTGTGGTGATTACCGGCCACTCAACGAGCGTACGCTGATAGACAAATATTCCTTGAGATATATTGACGACTTTGGCGCATTTTTGTACGGAAAAAACTTATTTTCGGTCATTGACTTCGAAAAGGCCTTCCTGCAACTACCGGTGGCCCCCGAAGATGTGCCGAAAACGGCAATCATCACGCCTTTTGGGCTGTTCGAGTTCCTCTACATGACGTTCGGACTCAAAAATGCTGCTCAAACGTTCCAGCGATTCGTTGATGAGGTCACTCGTGACCTCGATTTCGTTTTTCCATACGTTGACGATATTCTGATCGCATCAAAGGACGAAGACGAACATTTTAAACACCTTCGAATTCTGTTTGAACGCCTACGCGAGTATGGTCTCGTTATAAATGTGCAAAAATGCCAGTTTGGACAACCAGAAGTGCAGTTTCTCGGGCATCTTATCACGAGGAACGGAATTAAGCCGCTGCCCGAAAAGGTCGAGGCTATTACTAGTTTTAAGCCTCCAACTACGGTCAAAGCACTCCGAAGATTTCTGGGCACCGTAAATTTCTACAGGAAATTCGTAAAAAATGCTGCGGAAATTTTGTTGCCGCTAAACAAAGTTTTGGAGGGACCAAAAGTGAAAGGCTGTCACCCAGTCACCTGGACTGATGAATTGCATGAAGCTTTCAACACGGCTAAACGTGCTCTGTCCAACGCTGCGTTATTGGTGCATCCCAAAATCGACGCTGACTGGGCAATATTTACCGATGCCTCCGAAATCGGAATTGGAGCCGTTTTGCAACAATACGTACACAACGAATGGCAGCCACTAGCATTTTTTAGCCGAAAAATTCCTCCAACGATTCAGAAACTTTCGACGTATGACCGCGAGTTACACGCCGTCTATGAGGCTATAAAGTACTTTCGGCACATTTTTGGAGGTCGGCATGTAACGATCTATACCGATCATAAACCGCTTCTGCACGCATATAACCAGCGCACCGAAAGAGCATCGCCGTGGCTGTTTCGCCGTCTCGATTTTATCGGCCAGTTTACCACGGACATTCGACATGTTTCAGGCTCTGACAACATCGTCGCCGACACATTGTCACGCGTCGAAGCCGTCGCCGTAGCTATTACCTCGCAAGAACTGGCCAACGCACAACAAAAAGATGCCGAACTTCAGAAGTTACTATGCCAAAAAACTGCATTAAACCTCAAAACGATTCAACTGGAAAATGGACCAGTACTCTATTGCGATACTGCATCCGGTAAAGTACGTCCTTACGTCCCTGAGCCATTGAGAAAAAAGTTTTTGACTCATTTCACTCGCTTGCTCATCCCGGAGACAAAGGATCGCAAAAACTGGTCACGCAGCGATATGCATGGCCCTCTATTAACAAAGATTGCCGCGTATGGGCAAAATCGTGCATGGAATGCCAGAAAAATAAAATTCATCGACATGCGTCATCGCCGATCGCTAGTTTTGAACCACCAACGGAACGGTTCGAGCATATTCATATTGACCTGGTGTCTCTTAAAAGGTCTAAAGGTTTCAATCAGTGCCTTACCATCATAGACCGGTTCACCAGATATCCTGAGGCTGTTCCATTATCCGATGGTACTGCAGAAACGGTAGCTCACGCATTATCGCTACATTGGATTTCGCGCCATGGAATACCTAAGCGTTTAACATCTGATCAGGGGCCGCAATTCGAGTCGGACCTGTTTCAGTCGCTATTAAAGTTCTATGGTATTAAGCACTTGCATACAACCCCATACCACCCACAAGCCAACGGACTTGTCGAACGACTACATCGCCAGCTGAAATCGGCCCTTCTGTGTCACGACGAATCATGGTACGATGCATTACCAGCCGTCCTACTCGGTTTACGCGCAGCTTGGAAAGACGATATCGAGACGACGCCGGCTGAATTAGTATATGGTGAGCCAATTCAATTGCCTGGTGAGCTGCTCACTCCTACAAACAAAACCTCCCCACATACGATAGTAAACACTTTAAAACTTCATTTTAATTCATTGGCACCGGGCGAAATGTCACGTCACGGCAAGCATTCTGTTTTCTGTTTCAGGAACCTTAATACTTGCTCCCACGTACTAGTGCGCAACGACCAGATTCGTCCATCCTTCTCGTCACCATACGAAGGTCCATTTCGCGTAGTAAGTCGACACGATAAATACTTTGTCATAGACTTTCGACGTAAGCCAACTGCGATTTCGGTGGACAGAATAAAACCTGTTTACGAGGCCAACGCTGTCGACAATATAGATCCATCTACATCCAGCAACGAAACAGTAGTGAATCAGAAACGCAGAGTCGGATTCAATATATAATTTTTTTTTAATTTTTTATCTATCATTCATTTTGCAAACAAAAATTATTAAATTCACAAGTTTAAATATCATTACGCTTAACAATGTTAATGAGTAAGCTTTTATATTATTAGATATCTTTGTAAATAATCCACAACTTACCTATAGACAACCATTCCAAAAAAAAAAAAAAAAAAAAAAAAACAAAGGGAGTACTGTGGCGCTCGCCACTGTAAACACGGTATAATTGTCTTTTGCCGGATCGATCACTATCGATTTTCGATTGTATTGCTCTCTCACTATTGTATTGGCAGATGATCAAGACAAGTTAAGTTTTCGCTGGTAAATTGATACACATATTTTTCTGATTAATACGATAAGTTATATTGTAATTTCCGCGTTATTAAATTGCCAAAATAAAGTTTAATCTGTTCCATCACAAACCGGTTTGTATTGATTGCCGTTTCGCGCAACCAAAGCGCTAAATATATATAAAACTCTTTGGGGAATGTACATACAGTTTCAACCGAAAACATAGTTGAACCCGGAAATTAGTTTACGCACCGTAACTATTTTAGGAGTCTTGCTTCGCAGAAGCTTTTTATGTGTCTTTTTTCGCGGCACAACTTTTGCGCTTGCACCTTTATTCGTATCTAGTCACGATACGTCTTTGTACTACTGCGTGAAGAGATTTATTTTCAAGGAAACTGTTGAAACCGCTCGATTGATTTGTTCGTTTGATTCAGTTGCTAATTGTTGGCTGAAGAGTTGGAGATGATGGGAAATCTCAAAAAAATGCTCTTATTTGTGTTAAAGGCGATTTTCTTGTTCAAAAATGTAGCTACTAATGATGAAAATCGGTGGATAAATAAGCCATTCTTGAATGGTCAAATGAAAATGTGCAATAGTTTTTTTAATTGAAATAGTAGGAGCAGAAAATAATGCTTCTCATTCACCATTTCGTACGTGGCCGTTACCGGTACATAATCGTACATGGCGTATGAGTAACATTTTCCATTCTAAAATTTAACTTTATTAGAAAATGATCTGATCTAGAAAAATGGCAAACAGATCCGTAATCTGTGACTCAAAAAAAAAAAAAAAATCGTTCTTCGGGATTTTTATGTAATTTTAGCAGCCCTACAGTATTTTCAGCTACACATCCATCAATTTAGATTGTACTTCTACTATAATTGCAACTTTGTATGTATGCTTATGGAAAAATTGTCATAGCTTAGGTACTATTTTACCTACGAATTCTTCAGATCAACATAGGTACTATTTTGACGAACTGCCTTCCAGGTGCTTCGTGACATATTAAGTTCTTGTTGATTTGGCTTGAGCTGCAAAGAAATTCGAAAATTACACTGAAACAGCTTAAATTGAGCGCCTACAGCTTACAAAATCTAGCTTACACCCTTACTCTAGAACCCGAATTTTCGTAATTCCTAATTCGTAGCTACGTTAAGAAAAACGGTAATCGACATGCTGCAACCGTTGCGGAAAAATGTGCAGTTATCAGTTGTTTTTCGAGTCAGCAGTATGAAGGAAAAAAAAAGTGGAAAGGAATTAAAAAAAAAGACTCATCATGTGCTTGTTTAAAGTAAAATTGGTTGATTTTAAATATTTTGAGGAAAACTATGTGTTCTGATGCATTTGCAGCAGCGGAGTAACCAGTTAATGCAATAGCAGATTCTTCCAAGCCATTGAAAACATGCATTTTGTTAGGTCGACCACACATCGAAATTAGCAAAAAAAATTGCATAGTGCGAACGGAATTTATTCATAAGCTAGTGGTTGGAAATCTGAAACATTTATTTGAAATAAAAGCGTAAAAGTCCTTTGATTACACGCGCATGTTAAAGTTTTTGGATTCGGGTTATGCGTTTGGACACAACAACC